CAAGAGCTTATCTGCACAGACCACATATGCTAGCTGAAATGCTGAGAAAAGAAAAAAAAAATATGTAAAACCCCTGGAAGAGTCCGCTTATAAAAAGCCTTGTCAGACTTAGTTTCAGGGTCCAGGATTTCAGAGCAAGAGCTCGTCTGGACCCGCTAACATAATCAACTCCTGGCTCTCCAACTCTCTGAGTGTTGGACTCAACACTGCCCTCGGACTCCTGCACACACAGCCCTCAGCTCCACAAGGACAGGAAAACATTCACACAGCACAATCCACCTTTGAGGCCCCTTATCATCCATCTCCTGAATTCTCCTTCTGCCTCATCTTTTTATTTCCCACATAGCTTTGATCTAAGTGCTTTTGGACAGGTGATATAGTCACATCGCCAAAAACTCAAAATGGTAGTTGGTCCTCAGAAGGTCAGTTTCCTTCCCCAGAAGTAACCAGTGTCTGTACACGATGCTCTGAGTCTTGCTTTATTCACCTGGAGGATCTAAGAGGTCACTGGAGATCAGCAGTGCAGACTGTCCTCGTTCCCCTCGATGACTGTGTGGTGTCCCACTGCATGGACGGGCTCTGACTTTGTGTGCGTCTTCTATGAATGGAAAGTCAAGGAATTAAATTTATTCTACCAACAGAAACACTGCAATGAATAATCCTATTTTTTTCCACAAGTGTGTGTGTATAACAATAAGATAAATTCCTAAACGTTAATATGGCCAAGTTGTTCTCTGCTGAGAGTGGACAAGTTTACAATCCCAACAAGGAGGGAGAAAGTCTGAGTGTTTCCCCACCATCACCAACACAGTGTGGGGTAAAATCTTGTAATCTTTGTGAATATTAGGTGAAAATTAGAATCTCCACGTAGATTTGAAGAACATTTCTCCTATCGTGAATAATTTTGTGCTTTTTTAAATATTAGTAAAGAGCATTTATATTTCTTTTATTCTGTGAATTACCTGAGCAAATTCTTTGCTCAGTTTTTTAGTGGGCAATTTGACTTTTTATTATTAATCCTTGGAACCTCTTTGCAAGTTACAGATTATTGTTTACTTGTGATAAGTATTGCAAATACATTTCTAACTATGCCACTTTTCTTTTGGATGTCTGTGACCTTAACAGAAACACTGCAGTGAATAGTCTTCTATTTTTTTCCACAAGTGTGTGTGTATAACAATGAAATTCCAGGCTCCAGAACCATGAGGCAATGAACTGTTTATGGATCTCTATACGTACCCCTTCTCTACCTCTCAACTGCACGTGTATCCCACACGTACCCTGTTCTTTCTCACCTTAACATAACATATTTGGTCCAGCATAGTTCCTAGAATGAGGGAGTTCATTTGTGCTCTCCCAGCCTGGAATAGCCTTCCTGTCTAAGCCACCCAGTCTTTGGTACTTTTCTATGAGAGCCCTAGCAATTCATACAAGCAGGTATCCTTATCAGCACTCTAAAAATCGCACTAAAGATTTCTCTGCTAGGCAAATAGCCAGAATTAATGTACTAAGATTTTGTTTCCAACATAGTTTACACCTTTATAAAAGTAGCAAATTGATATCTTGTATTTTGTTCATTTCATCAACTAATTAGGTAAAAGGAAACTAACATTTTTCAAGTCTCTCCTATACACCAGACATTGTAATAAGCTCTTTAGATCTGTTACCTCATTTAATTCTCACAAGAGGCATCATTATTCCTTTAAAAACACACACACACACACACACACACACACACACACACGTACAGGTGAGGAAACTAAGGCTCAAAGCAGTTAACCTGATAACCCACCCAAGGCTGCGTAGGTACTTCACGGAGTTTATATCCAAATCTACAGGGCTCTCAGGCTCACACCATTCCCCCAAATTTTGCAGTCTTTTCCAGACACCTGCCATGTTGTTATCCTTGTACTGAAAATGGCAAGAGCTCCAATGGAGATATGAGGATTAACAGAAGCCACATTCAGTCTCCTTCAAGCTGGTGAGCTATTTCTGGGGAAGGGATACAGAGTAAGAGGACAAGAAAAAGAAAAGAAAAGCATGCTTCTTTTTTATGTATACGTAAGAAACAAAATCTGGCTGCCCATTGAGAGGATATGCACATCACTTCCCTTCCCTTGGTAACGCTGCTGATGCTGCTTCTGCTCCGGGGTTGTGATGAACAAGCTGTGAGATATTAGCGCCAGCCGTTGCAGCAGCGTGCTTCTACAGCTGGGAGAATTCCTGAGAAATGGTTTTCATGGCACAGATCTCCTTGGAGACCTTAAATAACAGCCTAAAACGTACGGTACAAAAATCACAGGGTTTATGACTTTAGTTTCAGCATGGTCTTCTGGAATTTATAGATTTCCTGGTAAATTGGGATCCATTCGGCTGGTACATATTATGCAGGATGGTGGAATTGTCTCTTCTGCATTGAAGGATTAGAAATGGGCAGATGCCTTGACTGGGTAATAACAGCACCAGCCCAAGCTGTGCATGTCAGACAGGGCTAAAGTTCTGCGTTTGGGCTCATTTTAAAGGGGAATGGGCTCCCACAGTAGCCCATTCCTCCATCTCCCAATACCTTCTAGTCTCAAAGGAGCCGGGCACTGAAGTTAGTTATGTCATGCTTTCATCAGACCTGGCTAAGGGTAAACAAATGCCACATGTCATGGTCCCGTTTTGTGTGGGTCGAGGAGGGGTGAGATCCACTAACATATGCGAATTTAAATTTCACTTCAGAATTCAGCAATAGAGAAATGACTTTTTATACAGAACCTGGGAGTGCATTGTTCCCTGTTTTTCATGATTTCAGTTAAAATAAAGTCTGCTTTTAGTGGTGGTGGCTGTAGCTGTTCCATATACATTTAATTAATCTGATGCTAGATAGCAGATTTTATAGCCTATGAACAAAGAACATTTGAGAGAAAGCTGAATTTGTGTTCCTGATTTTCAGCCAGTTAATCAGAGCCTGTTAGCTTTAAAAAACATTTGTTTTTAAGAAAGAAAAGGTAAAGCAATCAAAGTTTGTTACTGTCATTGTTGTTCCAGGAAAACAAACAAACAACAACAAAAAAACAAGCTAGTATACAGGAACAGTAACTTTCTTTCAGCTGAAAATCTAGTATAGATTTTAGAATTTGGACTTTGGGGCCCTTCCAGATCCCACATGGCTGTTGATCAGCAGAGGATGAAGGATTTACACAAAGGGCTTCAACTCTGAGGAGTCATTTATTTCTACTGGGTCAATAACTCCCGAAAATAAATCAAATCAATAAAGTGCAATAATCATATGGACGTTGTTAGCCTGATTCTTTGGAGGCAAAAAAAGGAAAAGAAAAGAAATGGGCTTGGGTATGAGAAATTGGAAAAATGGTTAGGAAAGAAGAACTCAAACCCCCGATAAATTCTAGGTATTCCTTGGAGCTCAGAAGCTACCCAGTTTTCTGTTGTGATAAATGTTTTCCAATGTGTGAATGCACATGGCAGCTCACTCCTGGGTAGTCAATATTCTTCCTAATGGGTCTTCTTGAGATAAGTCAATACCCCCCATGATGTCATTGGGCTCCTTAGAAAGGAGATGAGGCAGATGACTACATGGACATCCAGTGTCGTGGGACAGTTGCTGCACTCCATGTCAAGGTGACATCAACTGCTGCTGCAAGACCACTCAGAGCCAGTTCTGTTGTAGGCCTATGCCCAGCCAGGTACAGGGTCCTGAGCATCCTCACAGGAGTTGTTATCAAGGATCCAATGGCATGTTCTTGATAACTGGAAAGATAACCCAGGTTTCTGGCCATTTTAGAACCCATAGCAATATTGTCAGTGGTCTGTCTCCTGAGAAAGATGCATTCTGGAGATGAGTCCTCTGAAGGCAAAGGTCCCATGTGCCATGACCCTTCAAATAGAGGGAGGGAGGGGAAAGTTGACCAGACAGGGGCAGAAGGATGCAGTGATCAGCCCAAAGCGGTTGTCCTAAGTGCCAGGCAGGAAGCACTTCTCCCGGATCCCTTCACTTCCACAACAACCCTACAAGGTAAGAATTGTACTGTTATTCCCATTTTACCCATGAGGAAACTGACACTTAGACAAAGTGATTCACTCCAATATCCACAAGCACTTTAGTGATGGAAGCAGGGTTTGAAATCCAGCACAGCACACGTTTTAAGCTCTAGGGCATAGTCTTCTGTGGAGAAACCTGGGCTGATAAACTAATGAACCTGAGACCCAACTTTGGGAGCATAATTCATTCATCATTAGCACATTAGTCTGTTTCTGTTGCTTATAACAGAATACCTGAAACTGGGTAAGGAATAAAGAAATGAAATTCATTTCCTACAGTTTGGAGGCTGGGAAGTCTAAGGTCCAGGGAACACATCTGCTGAGGGCCTTCTTTTTGGTGGTGACTCTACAGGGATGCAAGGTGTCACATGGTAAGAATGGTCTGAGCAAAAGAGAACTAACTTTCTCACTTGCTGTCCTCACAAAGCCATCAGAACCACACCCATTACTCCATGAATGGATCAGTCTACTCACAAGGGCACAGTCCTCATCATCCAGTCACTTCTTAAAGGCCCCACCTTTCAAATACCATAACTGGATTTCCCACCCTCTTAACACTGTTACAATGGGGATCAAATTTCCAATACATGAACTTTTGGGGCTCACATTTAACCCACAGCAATTAGGGGACTGCCTCTAGAATCTATGTAATTAAAGGCAAATTCAGACATCGAGTCCTACTGATAAGTCTACACACAAGAAAACACCCACTTGAAACTCAAGCATCTTATGGAGGACAGCTAGATGATTTATAGTGGCATTTAAACTTTGCCGTGGGACCATCAAAAGTGGAGCTGCTTCTTGAGAAATATACTCCTGCCTGATATTCTTACTAACTTTCCAGCCCCTTCATCGCCTCTATCCCTCAATGGTTAATCCCTTCCTCCTGTCACTGGCTCCTTGAACTCTGAACACTTCCAATCACTGGGCTGTTAACTGGAATAAAACAACCTCACAGACGCTTCGGGGTAAGCCTAGAGAAATGGCAGTCATTGCTGCAAGCAAGGGATGGCCTTACCTTAAAAGAAAGAGCAGAAGCACACAGGCCTCACACACTGATTAATTTATCTGTTGGAGAAAGCCTATTTTTTTTCTCTTGCTTTCATTTTTTCAAGTAATACTTCCAGCAGGTATGCTCATAGAGATAGATAAGCAAAGCCAGGAAAACCATTAAAATTGCAGCCAACTACTTGAAGGACTGGGAATCCTTCCAGCTCTCACGATGATGTAACGTAGCCACCTCCTGAAGAAGACAGTCTTCAGTGACCAGATGGTGAGAAGATGTGAATCATGTTCCTTAGCAGCCACGTCAGGCCTTCTTCCATTCCAAAGCCACCCTTGCCCATCAGTGGAGAAACTGGGGCAGAAGGTCTGTACACCAAGGCCTCTGTAGTTGACAACTTGCTCAGAGTCAAGGCTCTCCCATGCCCATCTTCCTAGTGAGGAATTAGTTTCTCTGTCAGGGGTGGAGAAGGTTGGGAGGAGAGGTTGAAAAGCCTGCTCTCTCTTTCTCATGTTGGACTGGGAGACAGGTCCAGAGACCCACCCCCAAGAAGGCCCCCTGTCTGACATTCTTCCATCAGCTGCTCCCACACTTCCTTGGGATTTCTTTAGAGGGACCACATGGGATGGCTCTCCCAGCCTCTGGAGACAGCTGTGGTATAGATTCACATTATTTATAAATTCCTTCAGCAAAGATATATATGGAGCACCGTGATACACCAGGCAATGGTAGTAGGGATCAAAAATACCAAAGATCCAGTCCCCACTATGGCAAGGAGCTCACAGCCTGGCTGGGGAGAGGGATAAACTAACCAAGTGTTATACTAAATACAAGAAGGGCCATGACAGATTTCATGAGCACAGACAGGGGCAGGGGTTTAGCAAGTCAGACTGGGATTAGGACGGGCACCTGGAGGTGAGGTCTCAGCTGAGTCTTAAAAGATTAATAGGAGTCTGATGAAGAAGAGGGGCCAAGGACAGATGGCTCAATTGCTGTTCTTAACTTAGATATGGCATCGTGCTCTAAGAGAGAAACTAGTAAAAGTCAGTGTATCATGAGGGTGTCCCCATTAGAGCAGCAATCTTGCCTCGCCTGTGAGCACTTCTACTTCAGCACTTAAGAACTGGTAGGGGACAGGTGCCCGTAAATATGTGTTCCCTGAACATGCCAAGCACGTCACCCCAGGACATTGGCACTTGTTACTCCCACTGTCTTGAATGCTCCCACCCCCCATCTGCATTGCTCACGCTCTCTTTTCCTCCCAATCATTTTAAATGCTTTTTCCTTACCTGAGCTTTTCTCATAGCACCTACCAACTGACACAGCACGTGGTTGCTTGTTTATTGTCTGTCCCTCCCACTGAGAATAGGAACTTTATCTTTCTTGCTCAGTTGATATCTTCAGCAACTAAACAGTACTCAGCACGTAGCAAGCACTCAGTAAATACCTGTTGAACGAAGGAATTCCTTGCACATTCAGGTGACCCCTCCCTCAAAGCCATTCTAATCCCCCCAATTCTGTGTTCACCAGACTACTCCGTAGTTCCTCATTCCTAATCTCAATGTCAGGAGAACTCTCCGTAGGGTGCTTTTTTTAAACAATTCTGTGTTCACCAGACTACTCCGTAGTTCCTCATTCCTAATCTCAATGTCAGGAGAACGCTCTGAAGAGGGCTTTTAAAAAAAAACGTTCGCATGAAGATGCAGTTTTACAGGTAACTTCTCATAAACACAGAAGGG